CAAGGAAGTAGCTAAATAGGTCAAGGTTTCTTTATTGTCATTCACATCATATGTGGTACATGTGGTGGAACAAAACTGTGTACACACGATCCCAGTTACATCCAACAAAAGTAAAAATTGTAAAAAATAAAAAAAAAACAGTAATAAGATCTGAGATTTGAACTAAGAAATACGCTAAACTAAGAATATACTAAGCACTAGTAGTAGAAAAACAATACGCTGAACAACAGCAGCACAAACATGAATCTGTGTGAACAGATGAGTACGAATGAACACAACATGAAATAATCAGCAGCATGAGATCAGCAGCATGGATAGTCAATAGCACATATCAGCAATCAAGTGGCATTACAGTGATTTTTTTTTCCAACATTGATTATCCTGGTTAGATATTCATGAGTCTAACAGCCTCAGGGTAGAAGCTGTTCCTCAGCCTGGTGGTTCTACACTTAATGCTCTTTAATTTCCTGCCTGAGGGGAGCAGGGCAAAAAACGTTTGTGCTGGGTGAATGGGGTCCTTCATGATGCAGGTGACCCTCTTCCTGCATCTGGCGGTGTAGATGTCTGTGATGGTGGAGAGACCGACTCCAGCAGACTTCTGTGCAGCCTTCACCACTTTCTGCAAAGCTTTTCTTTCTGCAGCTGTGCAGCCTCCATGCCACACGTTGATGCTGGAGCACAGGATGCTGTGCACTGCACACCTGCAGAAGGAGGTGAGGACTGAGCTTCCCAGACCAGCTTGTCTCAGCAGCCTGAGAAAAGAGTCTCTGATGAGCTTTCTTGATCAGACTGGTGGTGTTGTTGCCCCAGCTGAGGTTGTCATTCAGGTGCACACCCAAATACATGCAAATATGACCAAAATACCCCCAAAATACCCAAGCAAATATGATATCTTTAATCTGCAGCCACTTCTTCAGGTCATTCTCCATCCGTCATCCACAGTAGGCAGCGCCGGTATGATTATATATTGTCCTGTTTCAGGACAGGTGGTGTTCCCGCTTGTTTAGATTATATCCACAATGCTCGGAGAAACTACATTTGCTCATACTGTTCACACAACAAATGTCGGTTTCAGTCCATGCTGGACTTGTACACATAATTCACACAAAGCATCATGGGGTCTAGGAATAAGGTCAATAATACAGAGAAAGGATCGTGAACACATTGTAATATAATTCACAACAACAGAAAAAGGAACAGAAAATGTTATAAAAACTATTGTAGTTAAAGAGTGGTGCATGCATGCAACTCCAACATTAGACTCTTGTGATGCTACAGCAAGATGTTTTATTACGACTGTATTATTGATGGAAATTATGTCACATACTCCAAAAATATAATTTTAATTTGCTAGTTTAAGGACTGTGCTACAATATTTGTATCAATTTGGAATTTCTCTGTGGTATCTGGTTACTTTGTCTTGTGGCTTTTATTCTTGTTCAGTTTTTCTGTTATGTCAAACCATATCTGTGTCCTCTCTCTGCCTCTTGTGTCCCCCCTGTGACTCTGTGTTGCCTCTCCTCATATTTCTGCTTTGCTGGCTTACAGTTTGGCACGCTCATGCCAAGGACAAAACATGACTGCTGTGATAGAGCATCAGCTCAGGATTCATCGATCGGCTTCATTAACAGTTAAAAATAGGATTTGTGAGTTTCTATTTTTTTATTGTTTTTACAGTGTGGGCTGTTTGTGCAGCCAGGCTGGCCTCAGAGCTCTCAGGTTGATCACATATTGATCTTGACCTGGTCTGTGCATCTCCACTGCAGAGATGCAGACATAAGGAGGATCTGAACTCCATTATGCAAATAAATATAAAATTGCTCAACCAACCATGATAAACCGATGCATGCTTTTAGTACAGTATGTTACCCACAGTGCACAGCACCTCCCCCCAACATGCATACTGTACACGTTCAGTTTCATCTATGCTGGCACATACTGTATGTCTGTCCTGTCAAACACAATCACATCATTACTTACCTTCAAATCCTGACGTTACCATCACATCCATCCATCTGCTTCGTTTTGTCCCACTTCCAACAAATGATTTAAACTTCGGCAACCCTCCAAAGGCAGCCACGAGCAGAAAACACACTCACATGATCTGTTGCTTTGTCCCAGTGTCTCATGAAAACGGGAAGTGACTTGTAACAGGGCATTATGGGTAGTATGTGCAGTGAGTGTGTGTTTTGTGTGAGGTGGTTAATGTCTAATCTTTAGAAGTCCCCCCCTTCGAGGCACGGCCCCTCCCCAGAGAGTCAAACCCCATGACAGACGCTGTTTTGACAATGGGACACTTGTGTCACCGTCACCCTGAAGGGTATTAAGAGTGATGGAGGGTGGGACCCGGGGGGACCCTTTATCATGCTGACTGTCTGAAAGCAGCCCTGCTGAAATCAGTCTGTGAGAACAACAAACAGAGAAAACACGACCTGTGAGGTGAGCTCAGATGATGTTACTCAGCTCTCATTGAAAATGTTGATTTTGTTCAAAGTGTGTCATCAGCATCCCCCAGTTTATCTGCAGATGTTTAACTGAGTGACACGAGACAGCAAGGTCACCACTAGATGGTGTCTGAGTGCATCATTTCATTCAAGGTACCCAGAAAGAGATGAAATCTAATCAAGTCAAGATTTGATTTCTTTCAAAAAAAAAAATTATAAAAAAGCTAAAAACCCAAACAGAAAAATAATTAAAAGAAGTGCTAATATTGTCAAAGTGCTAATGTTTTGAGCTCTTACCTTACATGTTAAGAAATAGGGGATTATTGGGATGCTTTATCCTCATTATATTATTTTAGGCTGTTTAATGAAAAATAAACGTTAACATTTCTTAAAACAAGTAAAGTGCTATACTCCAAAATGTAACATACAAATGATGGTGGATATTACAATTATAGTAATTTGTGACATGATCTGTGATTTAATGTTGAACCCATGTGCAGGTAGACATGGGAGATTCTCAGGTAAAAAGAAATAATCTATTTAAACGCAAACAAAAAGCAAAACCTGTCGAGGCAGCAAAACTTACATGAAGGAACCGACAGGAGGATCAGAACACGACAGGCTTTGGAGGACAATCCACTGACAAAGGAAAAAACAGAGATGCTGAAAATCAAAGAACGCTAACGAGTCATAATGACGAGCACCTGGGGTGATTGGGATTGAGGACCAGTGAGACGGGAGCTGACAATAAAAATGAGAAAAACACTGGGGAGTGCAGGAAACACAAGGATTAGAGAAATGACTGAACAAAACACAGATTCCCACAATTTGTATCTAACATTACATGTTCTGCCTAATGTGTATGAACTTTTTCTTTCGGTTCTCTACAGAACACACTCCAGAGGTCAGAATGTTTACAAAATAAAATGTCATCAGGAGGGTCTGAAATTGTAAAAATATTGCAAAACTGTAGACATTCCTCCTATTTTTTATGCTCCTAATCATTTTGTAAAGCAAAAATGCCCAAGAGTCAAGTAATGCATTCAGGATAAATTCTGTTGCATAAAAGATAACCTTGTGATATTTTATTATAAACATCTTTAGTAAGATGCGTCAGAGCAGTCACGCTCTGCTCATTTTGGAATATTTAATTCCTGCTTGATAGAAAAAAAATCAAATTAAAAGATGTGATTTTTATCTGTGAGCATTAAATGACTGTCTGAGCAACCTCCTCCTGAAAGCCTTTGTTAAAAAACTACTTTATCTTTGCAGCTCATGACTGTCTGATTACTGTCTGCACACTTAACACATATTAGACTGAATAAAACGAAGTGTTCTTCCAGAGCTTTATTACCGGTATGTTCATTTTTCAGTATGTTTTTGCTGAAAGAGACAATGCTATTTATATGCTGTTAGATAATAAACAAACAAGCATGTTTCAGACAGAAACATGAATGTAGTAAAAAAAAAAAGTGGGTTGTTTTAGATGTGTGTAGATTGTTGTTGTTACAGTTTCATTGTACTTTACATTTATTCAGTTTCCCTGTTGTCCACCATTTTTTCTCTCAAAAATCTCTTGGCTTCAGCTCATCATCTGTCCTCCATCTGCTCATCAGCCCAGCTGCAGTCACTCAGTAATCACCCCTCCCAGCATCTATACACTCCTTGCTTTTATTTTAATTTTATGTGTGACGGATTTTTATTGTTTGTCCCATTGGTGGCTTTAAGCTTTCATATTGCTAAAGCTCTGGCTTGAAAGGCAACAAGAGATATTATTTCCTAAAAATAATGCTAGGCTTTTAATTTAAATATTTTTGTTACATCTGGGCTTAAGTTCAGTAAGTTAAATGAATAAATTATCTCTTTATTAAAAACAAGTTGTTATGAAATCATTACATTTTGTTTTTGCCCGTCTGCTATTCAGTACCTTTAATGGCCACACGATGGCAGCAGAGGTACAGAATGATCATCCAATTTCCTTCATTTGTGTCAAAATAAACAGCTCCATCTAGTTTCATTCATCATCCATTAAGAACTAATCTAATGGGGGTGGGGGGGGGGGGGGTGTAACTTTCCCCTTATATTTGTGTTTTAAAATTTCTAAAGATTATTATTTTGTGACACCTTTGTGTGTTGCTGCCATTCTTGGCCAGCCCTCTCTTGGAAAACTGTTTTTTCATCTTAATAAGATGCCTGGTTAATTAAAGGTTTAAATAAGCAATTGAATAAAACGAGCATGTTTGTGATAAAAGACAAGAAATGCTTGAATCTGTATTTTTGACAGTAAAAATACTTGTTTAAACCTGGATTATTATTATTTTTTTTTTGGTTTGTCTGAGTGAATGGGGAGGGGGGGAATAAACAATGTAAATGTTTTTTTTTTTTATTTTACAATTTTTTGTTCTTCCAAAGTATAAAAACTCTTTCTTGTAAACACAATGCACTAGTTCTCAGCTCAGCTTCCCCACCCACTCACCCCACCCTTCTCACTTTCACAGCTCTCTAACTTCCTTACCTCAACCTTCTCTCAGTTTGCTGTTAGAGCAGCTGCAGCAGCAGAGGCTCCTCCCCTTCAGTACATCTGGAGGAGCGTATGAAGAGAGGCACATGCCAACACTTTGCTTTAGAACAACACCTCTGAAACAACCGGTTAAAAGCCAGTCAACTTGTTGGAGGACCTGCATATCAGCAGAAAAGTTGCTACTCCATTTAATCCTGGTTTTTGGCTTCCTGGACACACCCCAGCCCTGAGGCTTCCCCCCCATCCGAGGATCAAAGTTCACTGTTCTTCAACACTGACCAGCAGCATCTTCTAACTCCAGGTAAATAATGTGACAGACTGAGCTTCCTGCTTTCATATTTGTTTTGTTCCTGTTCTGCTGATGCATGTGGGGAAATGCACTCAAATAGTCACAAGGTTGATTTTACTGGCAGATCAGGCGGAGAGCACAGGTAGAGTTACTGTGTGAGGGCGTAACAAGCGACACAGCAGGGAATAAACAGAAAAAAACATCATAGTTTTATCCGTAATCACACGAAAGTCTTGTGTGGCTGCGTCAAATACTAGAGCAAACTTCCTGATTGCTCACTTCTCCCTCACTGCAACACATTTGTGCACAAGCTGTGCGTGCAGCTACATGTCTCAACCTGCACAACAAACAACATATATGTAGAATAAACACTTAGAGAGATTCTTCAAATGCTTTAGCCCTTCTTGACATTACTTTTGTTGACTCACCCTTTAGCTTAAACTTTCCAAGATCTTGTCAGGCAAACAACCAGGCCGAGCTTATTCAGCACATTATAACCAGTTTTTTTTTTTTGCTCTTGTTGTTTTTGGGAACTTGATCCCAATATTAGAGCTAGATTTAGAATAAATGAAGTAAAATGACAGTTTTGGTGAGGAGCTTTAACAAGCAGCTTTTACTGGAATACATTCTGTTTTATCAACTGAGACGCGCAAACTATAGTTCTTAACATTCTTTAAAAAAAACATACTTTTCTAGTTTCAGCTTCTGGTTTACTGTTTGAGGAACGAGTTCAGACCTGCGTGGCTAATCTGATTGTGAGTGATTTCAATGTCAGAATTTGTCACCACCACCACCAAACCTGAGTCCAGAACCAGAAGTGAGAGATCAGTGACAAATAAAACAAAATGTAAATCTAAGTACGGTTAGTGTCAAATGATGTCATACTGTGATGAGTAGCTTTAGAAAACTGGGAACTTGCTGATAAAAAATGGGCTCACTGTTCTGTGAAAGGGAATAGTTTCAGCTACTTTGTTTGATATTTATCGTGCCCATTATTACAACAACTGGGCGAGTATCTGACATTCTGGAAAAGTGACGTAGACAGGCAGACAGGCAGGAATGTGGAAGTGGAAATGAAAGAACAGACAGGAGGGGTCATGCTGGGAGGAAATAAACAAGCTGGTTGCCAAAGTTTGATCAACTTTAAAATTCCCTCAAAACTCATGGTTTTAATTTAATGCCACATAGACTTCATTTAGTTTTATGACAGAGTCATTTTGTTTTCTTTCCCCCCATTAATGGTTTGTTGCTCCTTCACAGAAGCCACAGGGGAAAGAAGGTACAACGTGAACATTTTCTGGAAAAATTCTGTATTATAGACAACTACTGGTGCATGTGAATATTTTAGTTGATTTTCTCGCAGCTTATGCATTAATATTTACTAGAACGTTTTATATAACAACATGTATCATGTCTTTTTTTTTTCTCCCCAAGTCAATTTGTTCATTGTTAATCACAGACCTTAAAGCAAATTGAAATATTTTCCTCTCTAAATAAAATACTGTACATCAAATTTCAAATCATTTGTAGACAAATGTACTCTGTGGAAAAGGAGACTAAAATCTTGAACATAAGGCTTACTTATTGTGGATTTATGTCTGTATGTTGCGTTCTTTACTAAAGGATGCCTTTAGGAGGAGGAAATAAATGTGGCCGCTGTAAGAAGACGGTTTACTTTGCGGAGGAGGTCCTGTGCGATAGACAGAGCTTCCACAAGTCCTGTTTCCTGTGCAGTGAGTACACAGTTTCCTGTTTCCTGAGACTGTAATTATGGGAAGTAACTTATCACTCTTGTCATAGTCACTTGCCGTAAACAATGCAGTCATTTGATCTGTTCTTAAAATGAAGTGTACATAGAAACCAGTAAGAAATGGCCAAAAGTTTGGCAGCATGTCTGCACCACATCTGGTATTAATTCACTTCAATTAACTTTATTTATACAGCACCAAGTCACAACAGAAGACATCTCAGGACACTGAACAGAAACATTCACATACCTTAAAAATACAGTTAGTAAAAGTTATTTATTTAAGGAAGCCAGAAGATTGAGTTGAATCTTCACTTCGTCACAGTCTCCCATCCTGAGCGAGCACAATGGCAACAGTGGAAAGAAAAAACTCCCTTGTAACAGGAAGAAACCTCCAGTAGAACCAGGCTCAGGATAAGCAGCCATCTGCTTCATCAGGCTTGAGAGGACAGGAAGGAGAAACAAAGAAACACAGAGTGGCAGGTCCAGGTGTACTTTCTACCAGTATAGGATTAAATTGCATGGTGGCTTTTGAGGCTTGTGTTGCATTTAGTAGCAACTGGGAACTCTTTGTCTTTCTGAGTAAACTAAAACAATATACATCAAAAAATGTAGTATTTTCAGTAAGTTTAGCTTTTTTGGACATTGTTCAGAGTGAAAACTAACAAACTAAATGCTAACCTTGACGTATTTAGTAAACAATTTAACAATGGGCAATGTTGGGCATCCTCCAAAAATTCGGTGAAACTGTAACTTCTATCAGAACCAAGAAATTTAGTTTAAGCTTCAGCACTGAGCATTACCTTAAACAAATAATTTGGATATATTTTTGGCCTTTCTACATTAGATGAATTGCGGTTGACAGCAGATAAATAGTGAAAACTATGGGGTGCCATTTGTAAAGTTACAAGGTCAAAAATTAACAGCAACATTTTGGTTTATTTAGCCTTTCATATGAAAAAATATAGTTTTTTTTTTTTTTTCAAAGTCATGTTTTCACCATGTCTTTCATACATTTATAAATGTCATAGTTCCAAACTAAATATTTAATTTACAAGTTAAATATTTAATTTGCTAACTAGATATTTAGCTTGGGTCAAAATCTTTAACTTGCAAGCTAAATATTTAGCTTTCAAGTTAAATCCATGTGACGCAACACTTGGGGCGAATGGGTTTAGCTTTTATTTTGATAGTCCACTTCCGCTTTTTGGCACGGAATTTGCATATTAACTAAATATTTAACCCGAGCTAAATATTTAGTTAGCAAATTAGATATTTAGTTTAGGAATTAAATGTTTAGTTTGGAAATTAAATATTTATCTTGGACAATAAATATTTAGTTTGGAAATTAAATGTTTAGTTTTGAAAATAAATAGTTAGCTTGGTAATTAAATATCGAATTTACACCTAAGTATTTAGTTTACTAACTAAATATTTAATTTGCAAGCTAAGTATTTAGTTTTGTAAACTAAATATTGAGCTTGTAAATTAAATAATTAGTTTGGAACTATGACTTTATAAATGTATGAATAGCATGGTAAAAATATGACTTTGAAAAAAAAAATTTCTTATGAAAGGCTAAATAAACCAAAATATTGCTGTTAATTTTTGACTGTGTAACTTTACGAATGGCACCCCATAGAAACAGCTGTGCCTTCCTTGCTCTGTGCATGAAATGCAATAAAGTTCTGACTTTGTGCTTCTGAAGTGTTATTTTAGCATAAGGTTTCCTCCCTGCCCAAACGTCTGTGCACACGAGCAACAAAAAGAAGACGGATACAGCCAAGTGACCTAGAATTGCTTCATAGTGTATATTTGTGAAAGTTCAAAACTGTGTCTGAAGTGTAGGTTCATGGAGTTTTGCATAGTTTCTGTTTTCTTATCAAACATTCCTGTGATGGAATTCAGATGAACGTTTCTTCAGAAAAGCTGGGCCATAAAAGGAAGCAGATTTGACTTTATCTAAACACATAAATGTGTCCAAGAAAATTGTTCAGAAAAATGCCAAACAAATGTGTGCATGTGTGTGTGTGAATGTGTTTGTGTAGTGGTGTGTAGAAAAGGCTTAGACAGCACAAACGTTGCTGTTCGTATGGATGAAGTTTACTGCAAGGCGTGCTACGGCAAGAAGTATGGTCCAAAAGGCTATGGTTATGGTCAGGGAGCAGGGACCCTCAGCATGGACAAAGGCGAGGCCCTGGGTATCGCACACGAAACGTGAGTATTGTGTAAGCGCATTTCTTGATACCTTTTAACAGGCTCTTTACCCACATTCATGACATGTTCCCTCATCAGCCCTGGACCTCATCAACCCACCACCAACACTAACCCGTCCAAGATGGCTCAGAAGTTTGGAGGCTCAGATAAGTGCCCTCGCTGTGGCAAGGCTGTGTACGCTGCTGAGAAAGTGATCGGCGCTGGCAGTGTGAGGAATCTTCCTGTGCTGGATATGCAATGTGTGCATGCAACAGTCCTTATGAGCTAAAATGATTATCTGTTCACAGTCCTGGCATAAGGTGGGATGTTTCACCTGCGCTGTGTGTGGGAAAAGTCTGGAGTCGACCACGTTGGCTGATAAGGAAGGAGAAATCTACTGTAAAGGTAACGGCAACAGCAGACTGTAAATAACCAGGTACATTGGTAGGAAGTGAATACATGTAGCTGTAACTCATTCAAATCCAGCTTTAATAATATTCATAGCTACAGAATAACTTTATGATGGACTTGAGAAAGTCTAATGGAAAAATCAACTGCTACTGGAACATGACTATGGTACATGTGATGGAAGGGCATCTCAATATTTATTTAGTCAGTAATGTTTCCAGTTTTAATGACAAAATGGCAAATGAAAACAAAGTACAATGATGTTAACGAGTACAGAACATACCACCCATACTGGTAGGAGGTCAAAGAGAAAACTGGTCAGAGACTGGCCACAGACACAAAACAGTTCAATTCAGTTTATTTATATAGCACCAAGTCACAACAGAAGTTGTCTCAGAATACTGAACAGAAACATTTACATACCAAAAAAAAAAGCCAACTGGTAAAAGTTATCTATCTAAGGAAACCAGCAGATTGTGTTGAATATTCATTTTGTCGCAGTCTCCCATCCTGAGCAAACACATGGGCGACAGTGGAAAGGAAAAAACTCAATTTTATCAGGAATAAACCTCCAGCAGAACCAGGCTGAGGGCGAGCATCCATCTGCTTCGACCTGCTGGGTTTGAGAGGAACAGCACGGAGGAACACGCGTACACAGAATGACAAGTTGTACTTTCTGTTGGAGGAAAGACAAAAAACATTAAAATAGAAATAATTACAAATTTCAACATGAACAGTAGAGTAAGTAAAAAGAGCAGCAGAGTGAGGCAACGTGGTCAATTTGTCCTACAGCAGTTGACGCTTAGTGCAGCATAACTAAAGGACAGCTCAAGAAACCCAAGCTGACCCTAACAATAGGATTTATCAAAAAGGAAAGACTTAAGCCTCATCTTAAAAGTAGAAAATGTGTCAGCCTCACGGACAGAAACTGGAAGTTGGTTCCACAAGCGAGGAGCCTGATAACTGAAAGATCGTTCTCCCGTTCTGCTTTTGGAAACTCTAGGAACCACAAGTAAACCTGCAGTCTGTGAGCAAAGTGCTTTGTTAGGGAAAATATGTAACAAAAAGATCTGTAATATAAGATGGAGCTAGGTTGTTGAGAACTTTGTAGGTTAGAAGTAAGATTTTGAATTCAATTCTGAATTTGACACTCTCCTATCAGCTCTCATTAAAACTCTGGCAACAGCATTTTGGATCAGCTGAAGACTTTTTTAATATATAATTCTTGCACACCCAGATAATAAACAATTGCAATAGTCCAGTCTAGACTTGATGAATGCATGAACCAATTTTTCTCAGACATAAGAACAACAAAATCTAAAAAACAGAAAAAATAATAAGTTTTCAGCTGCTCTTAACGCTAACTTCATTTTTCCCTCTGTTTGACACACTAACTGCAACGAGCAGTGTGCTTTGTGAACTTCATTAATGGATTTTAGAGAATTTTTGGTGCTGTATTCTTAAAAAAAATGTAAAGAGAAGAAAAATGCTTCTTCACTTGATTTTAAATGAGAATGACATAAATTAGTTGTTGCACAATTGGCCAAAGTGGAGGGTGTTCAGTTTAGTTCCACTGCCTGGCAGACTGTTACTGAGGTAAATGCTGAAACTTGTGTGTGATGGAACAAACAACCTGAATTATACAAAAAAGTTAAATCATGTCATCTGGAGAAACTTATCCAGTTGACATGATTTAACCTTTTTGTATTTATCTACCTGGATGATTGAGCTGACAAACCTTTAACCTGAATTATAAATTATGAAGCACATCATCGTTTGCATAAAATTGAAACAGGCCTATAAAATCACAAAGGCACAATATGTTCTTCTTGGCTTTGCCCATCATGCATAAATATTTATTTCTTCACTAAAAGTGTGGATGTTGTACATAAATATGATCCTGTTACGTTTGAATTCAGCTATTCTTTTTTTATTGAGTTTAACTATATTTATTTTTATAAAGCCTTCTGGGTTTGGGGCATTTAAAAAGTTTAAAGTTGGATATGTCGTCCTGTTGAATACATTATATAATTTTAAAAGAAAAGCTAGCAAAATGATTTGTGCCTATATAGCTGCTGCCAGTCAGTAATATGGGGTTTTATGACACCATTTCTTTTTTTTTTTTTTTTTTTCCAACAGCCTGTTACGGGAAAAACTTTGGTCCCAAAGGGTTTGGATATGGACTGGGAGCTGGAGCGTTGGCACACACCCAGTGATGTCAAACTGTCCAGATGTTGAGCTGCTCTTTGCCTCCAGCAGAGGGAAGCCTCAGTTCAGCTGATAGAAACTTCCTTCACACAAAGCTGGACACCACAAATCAGTAAAGGACTGCAAATGTTGTTTGGCCCAATTTCTCCCCCTGGACCTCTTCTTTTTTTTTTTTGTTTTTTTTTTTTTTAAATCTAATTAAGGCAAGAAATGGAGCAGTTGAGTTCTAAAAAGAGCTAATTTCCCGTTTTATAGAGGAACAGAAAGTGAAAATTGAAGCCAAAACCACATGAGCGCCCCCTGTAGGATTGCTTTAGTACAGATTTAAATCCAAGTAAACCAATTTATTTGAATATTTACAAGAAAAAAATACACCTCAAATCATTTAGCCAGGTGTTGACTTTTGTTTAATCATGTAGTTCTTACCATCATGTTGTATCTTCAAATATTCATTTTTCTAAAATACTAACCTTTAGTTTCTGCCAGTACAACATGGCAGCACACATAAACCAGATCCTGCTGGTATTCATTCTGAACAACACAAGGAGGCTGAGACACTTTGGGTTTTTTTTTTTAATGTTGACAGGATGCAGATGGTGATGGGAATCAACAGATTTACAGCTTGATCCACTTCACGACTGACCCTAAACTCAAAACTCTTTGTTTTAGGGTCAATAAAGGTGTCATAGCTAAGCAACAATTAAAGATGTCTGATGTGGGTGTATTGTACAGCAATACTGCTCAATTTTACAAAAGTGCAAATCATGAACAACTAAAAAAGGTAAAATTGTAATTAAAAAAAAAAAATCTGTACCATGTTGTGCAGTTTTACATATTATAATTTTCTATTGGGTTTTCTTTATACAAAAGTTCATAAGTTTTGTTAACATATACATAATTTTGAACACAGATGGTTAGAAATTAGAACTTTCTTAAAGGTGTAAGGGCGAAATTAGTGTTGAAACTAATTGTAACTGGCATCTTAAAGCTTTACAAAAATGAAAATCTATGGCAGCTAAGAGAACACTGATTGATAAATCAAATAAATTGATGAATATTTTTCTTTTAGGGAGGTTGTGGTCATCAAGACATTTAAATGACACTCAAGCCCCTGGTTGATGGGCTAGATTAAGACCAATAATTAGGAAGTAAGAAATAAAAAAGGCACATTAGTCACGATGCAAAAACAGATTGGACCATCATTTTTCTTCATTATCTTTATGTAATCATAATAGCTGTTGGAGCATCAGATATCTATTCTGAGCTCTGCTGGTAATCTGTATAAATGCTTTACACTAAAACTCCTGCAATGTATTATTTGCCCATTTGTTTTGTTTTATTTGAAAATTCAATTTTGCTACAAGTGTTCCTTTTTTCTCGCATGTATCCATGACCTGATAATAAAGAAAAAGGCAAAAAATGTTTTATGTGTATTTTTTTCACATTTATTTTTATTTGTTTATTTTAGGTATTTATTTGTTAAATAATAAAGCAACCCTGATAGGATTCTGGTTTTGGTTTCAAGCAATGACACATGCACATTTGACTCATTTCTCCCATAACATTCCAGTGACACACCTCGCACTGCTGAGATAACTAACCACCTGTAACATCTGGGCATGGCTTAATTTGTAAACGGATTGATGCCAGAATGCAAATAGCAGGTGGGCCAGCTGGGGGGTAAAGGGTAGCAGGGTATGGGGGTCCTCCCCCAGAAAATTTTGAAAAAAGTAGATGTGATTTACTGCCTTTTGGTGTATTTTAACGGGTTGTTAAACATCTATGTTTACATACATTTATAAACACTTGCATCCTACCCCCACTTGACAGTTCCGAGCCGACTCCTCCACTGAATTCACTGTACGACTGTGAAACCTCCAGGCACTTACCCCCACCACTCTTAGGGGGGGAGATTTATTTATTTCTTTTTAAGGGTAGAGGTGAAAATGCTTCACTTGAAGGGGCACATGATCATGATGATATTAAGAAGTTGTGAGTGGCTGTTGTGTTTAAAATTAATGTTTATGTAATTAAGGTTTACATCTCCAATATACAGTAAGTTGTATTTGTTCAAGGCAGTCATATTTGTTCATAACTTTATTATTAGTAAGCCTGAAAGTTGCCGGATCCAAGCAAATAGTTGCTGGAATGTACCCTGTCAAAATAAAAGAGGATCCAGCTCAAATTAAGCACTGCATCTGGGGGAATACAGTAACTTCATCCAGTCAGTCCAGCTGTCAGAAAGGACAGAATTAATGAAAACAAAGCAGCTTCTCCACGAATGAGAGAAAATTCTCAACGAAATGGGATTCATGTCTTTAATGAGAAGGTTCAGCGAGTGACAAACTGTTTTTGCACCGTTTAGTTTATAGGCCTATATTAACCAGGAATGTCTGAGTTGTTTCTCTTTTTCCTGTATTCTCTCTCTTATGGAAACTCGAGGTTCCAGTAAGTCTGAAAGCTGACTCATCAGCCAGCCTTCATCCTTCATTCTACTCCCTCCCCACAGAAACTCCTAGTCATGTCAACATTTGAACTCCTAACTTTAAGCCTCTCTCTAACATTCCACCTCTACTAGAGGATTACGCAACGTGCTGCTGTTTATTTATTTGTTTATTATGTTACATTTCACATTTTATTTTATTCCAGAGCAGCATGTGCCAGTAAGGCCAATTATCCGTTTAATTAGTTTCAGACTTTCTCACGCATGCGCACTAAATCATAAACAGTCGGCATCTCCTCCTGCCGTCATTACAGAGGAGGCGGAGTGCCGCTTCTAAAGGGAGGAGGGGGGAGAGTATGTCCACAGAAGAGCCGGGCATGTCCAAACACATCTGAGCAGACCAGCCAAGCCCCGCCGAGCTGTCATCGCTCATGTGAGGGATACTTCACAGAAATAGCTGAATGGCTTCGCCCTGACTCGCGTCGCCGCTCAAGATAACCTCCTGTTAGTCTCTGTCTCTGTGGACATGTCTGTGCCGGGGACAGTGGTCAGGGACGGGCTGTTGGAGAAGCGCAGCAGCGGCCTCCTCCAGCTGTGGAAGAAGAAGCGCTGTGTGCTCACGGAGGAGGGCCTGCGCCTTCGCAGCTGCAGAGGAGGAGGAGGAGGAGGAGGAGGTGATGCTCCGAGCTCGGCGTGGAGCTCCAAGGCCAAGGAGCTCCTCTTCGAGCGCATGGACACGGTGGACTGCGTGGAGTACAAGCGGGGGCTCGTGTACTTCACCGTGGTCATGGCGACGGGCCAGGAAATCGACTTCCGGTGTCCGCAGGACGGCACGCCGTGGAACGCGGAGATCGCGCTGGCTCTCGTGCGCTTCAAGAACCTGCAGGCGCTGCAGGCGAGCAGGAAGAGGCACCTGCACGCGGCACATCTGGGCAGCACCGGGGAGGACGAGGAGCTCTAAGTAAGTGGAGTTGAACAAACGTGATCAAATAACGCACAAGAGCTGAGTTTGTGACAGACTCACTTTCCTCTCAGCATCACATGTTTGAGGCGGTGAGTCAGCTGAACTCCTCCAGGGCACAGAAACAAATATCTTAAATTGTTTTAATTTTTCCCTTGAGATCAGAGTCATCCATGGCATCAGGGCCTGATCAAAAGCTCTATATTTTATTATTATAGACCCATGATAATGTGGATATTATCACATTATGATATGATACATTGCTTTATCTAATTATTTTTCTGTGCACAATATAAAGTTAGACTTTAGTTTTGCCTGTAGGCCTCATTTGTGCACATGTAACTTGGTTTTTGGTTCAACATATTATGCTATTGACTCCAGATTAAAAGATAAATAAATACTATAAAAGTTTATTAAGGACATTTATAAATCATGTCACATTTTTTATTAGTGGCCTTGAATAACATCTTTTGCATTCTTGGTTAAAATGGACAAGTATTTTATTAGTGAAACGAGGACGCACGTCCATAACTGTGAGGCCTAAAAACATTTGAATGCCAGCGCTGTGAGGAAAGGTTTATATATTGAAATAATGCAGAGATTGTTTGTGGGAATGCCAACAGGTGTGGTCCGCCTGAGGAAAAAATAAAGTTATTGAAATATTCTGTTGGGGAGAGGCTCACAGAGGAATAATGTTTACAGTAGCATCATAGAAGGTTCTGATAGGGAAACACCTTCACAGTAAAGCTCCAGTTTGGGAAATATTCTGTTAAGGAAGGATTTGAATGGAAAGAAGATTCTGTTTGGGAAGAGTTTTTGGGGGAAAACATGAAAAAATAAATGTATCTTGAACATGTTAGACAAGAATATTGTCCATTTTTTCCCTCCTAATCTCTAATAATAAATATGTAATAATGTAAAAAAAATAACTGTTATAAAATAAAGTATAATTAAAATAAATACATGAAAAAGATATGTTAAATAAATGTTATACAGTATATAAATATGTCATAAATAATAAAAATAATGATCACAGGTGAGCAAAACTGAATAAGCACAGGACAATGAACAAATATTATTCTCTCATGTCAGTCAGATCAAAGAAAACTTTTTTTTTTTTAAAAAGAAAACCTAAAATGGTTAAATCTGACGAGAACACAACAGTTGAGTTAATGTGTTTCATCTTTACGCCAATCATTAGCAGTAACCGAGAACAGGGAGGTAAAACGTTTAAACATTTGGGGACGAGGTTTAAAACTAAGCCCCGGCTTGTTTACGAGCACCACTTGAGGGTTTCGATGTTCCGCTGAGTCACGATAATCTGTGAGTGTTTTGTCATGGTGGACCTCGTCACTGCGCCTCAGTCTTCTTACAACGCAAACCGCTCTCCTCGGAGGACAGAACTACGATGCAACGCACAAGCGTTCAAAATAACATCTGCCTGCCTCTCCCTCAGCAGCCAGAGGAGTATTTTTAAACTCAGCATAGACTTATTTCTGTTTATTCGATTTAAACAGAAGTAATTTGGTTTGAACAAGATCTTTATCCTCCATATCTGTAGTTATTTTGTACTTAAACTATTATTTATAATTTAAATGCCTCGTACTAAGTTGTTTACCGAAACTTGTTGCTGAAACCTCAAGTGAACTGAGTCTATGAACTGAACTATGAGCTCAGACATTAGGAATCCACAGCAACGCTTCCTTAAGAGAGCCGCAGAAGCCCAGAGTCCATATCAGCTCAGTAGCTGTGGAAACAATGTAAAACATGTCACTGGACTTTGTCTTAATGCTGAACACATCAGTTTACCGATAAAAGTAAGAACACGTCTTTGTCTTTGTTCCCCCAGGTTTTCGTCTCCGAGCCAGTCGGAGGTGAAGGGGCTTGTTTCTGTGCTGCACAGCTTCGCAGGAACACCCGTCAGTGAATACGGATCACAAGACTGACGACAGTAAATAACAGGCATTCTTTTGTCTCCCTTTACGACATCACACATGTCAAATGAAGAAGAGGAATCTACTTTAAATGGACTGCATTTTTTTTCATCGCCGCCAAAGGTCATCGTGGAGACTCCGTCAAGCAAAATGGACTTTTTTTTTTTGTTAGAAACTGCTGCGCTTTAAAACACATGATCCTCCGTGCCTTGTCGTTTCACAAACATCCCACTTATGAAATGATTTGATGCTATTTGAAACAAGGTCATGCTTTGAACACGTTTGTTACACACTGAACAGATACGTGGCTCACTGAAGTTAAACATGAAGAATGGCTGTTTCGTCCAAAGCTGTTGCGATTTATATTAAATGTATATTTTTGAAACCGTGTACAGTATTACTATTGTAAAAGAAATAAAATGGTTTGGAGAGGATTTCTCTGAAATGTCTACTTTTGATTTGTTTTTGTTTTTATGGTTCCTATAGTTCATTTCTGAGCTCATCTGTTTCCAGTTGTGGTACAACCTTGCTGTTATAGCCGCGGGGGGAAAAAACACACAACACACATTCTTATTCTTGGTGTGCGTGTCTGCCAGAGTCAGGACACCTTTTTGTTTTGGGGCTGTGTTCAGGACTAATGAGAAACCCTGTGAGCCTGAGGCATATGCTCGCAAACATCCACCCACACACTGACAGGAGCACACCCAAAATGAAACTCAGCAAAGCATCAGCAGACTCTTGTTAGCAAGACACCGCTTATATTGTTCATTTAAGCCTGTTTTGTGCATGTGGCCTTTTTCTCTGTAAGTGTTTGTGAAGAGTATTATTTTGTGTGTGTGTGTGTGCTCCTCAGGAATAAAGAGCTGGTTGTATTACGACTCCTGTCAGGACTGTGGAAAACCCCAGTTTAAGCCACACCGCATGAGTCAGCAGTGGACCAAAAGTGGTAAAAGAATGAAGGAGGCGCCCACTGATGGATGGTTGTGCCCTCCTGCGTGCGTCCTTCTCTGTTAGCTCACACTCTTCTGAGGAATTCTTTGTTTAAACATCATAAATGTTATTCAGAGCTGCTGGTTTTCCCTGCAGACAAAGAAAGACACGTTCATGTGTTTAGTAAAGATACCGTAGAAGAAATGTTTGTCAGCATTAGGACAAAAGTAATGATAGTAAGAATACTTTGAGCAACAATTATTTACAGGTCATCAGATGGCTTCTGTTTCGATGTTAAACCACTAGAGGTCTGTCTCTACTGTTCAACGTGGGAGATGTTTTATTTTCCGTAGGGGCTGTTGTGACAGTCAGTGGGATCAAAGGACCAAGAAATGAACTGAAACAATGTCATCTACATCAGTCGTGTAAAACATCACATCATCTGCAAGCATGCAAATCAAGGCTTTTTTTCTTTTACCTGAGCTCATGATGCATTTAGGACCTGATGACATAGCAGTGGAGGTTTCTAAATATGCTTAAAATGCTTATATAAATATGTGTTGCTGACTATCTATGCTGCTGATCTAATGCTGCTGATTTATTTCATGCTGCCTTATTCATTGGCACTCATCTGCTCACACAGACTCATGTTCGTGCTGCTGTTGTTCAGCAAATGTATTTTTTTGCTAGGGATGCACGATATTGGATTTTTGGCCGATATCCGATATGCCAATATGTTAAAACTTATTTGGCCTATAACCGATACCAATACCTTTTTTTTTCTGGACCTATTTACAGCGACTAGATATTTTTCTCCGCTGTGGAAATAAAATACTACATTATTCTGCATGGTCTTTGTCAGTTTGACCTGTTAGCAAATGCAGATGGCAAAAAGGGGCCTAAAAATGATGTAACACTTCAACTTGGATTATATTTCATGTCAAATTTATTCATGACAATCACTCTCTCTAACACAATGACAACACTCGAACAGTGCAAATTTGTAAATTTTCACAAATCTAAACTCAACCTGTTCACAAGCGACAAGTGAAAAGTGCACGAGTAGTGGTGCATTAATAGATATACTTGACAGTTTATTAAATAAAAAATTAACTTAAAACAGAAGGTGTGATGGGTTAAATGCAGAGAACTAATTTCATCATTGGGAACATACTAATGATGACAACATATAGCACTTTAATTATTTCTTAGTTCATATCGTAGACCTTATTACTCTTTTTCTTTTACAATTTATACTTTTGTTGAATGTAATTGGGACCCTGTGTACACGGTTTTGTTCCACCACATGTACCACATGAGATGCGAATGACAATAAAGAACGTTGACCTTGACCTAAATGTCTTGGAGAGATGGCAGTGAGGTTTTTGACTCAAATATTCCATGGCATATTTGAGGATGAGAAAATACCTGAGGAATGGAAAAGAAGTTTGCTGGTGCCCATTCTGAAGAACAAGGGTGATGTACCTAGTTGTAGTAACTGCAGAGGAATTAAGTTGATGAGCCACACAATGAAGATCTGGGAGAGAGTTGTGGAAGCAAGACAGAATGAACTCCATTGTGTCCTTATGGATTTAGAAAAAGCATATGACAGGGTGCCGAGGGAGGAGGTGTGGTATTGCATGAGGAAATCTGGAGTGGCAGAGAAGTACTGTATGTTAGACTGGTACAGGACATGTATGAGGACAACAGGACAGTGGTGAGATGTGCTGTAGGAGTGACAGATAGCTTCAAGGTGGAGGTGGAAGTGCATCAAGGATCGGCTCTGAGCCCCTTCTTGTTTGCTCTGGTGATGGACCGACTAACAGATGAGGTCAGGCAGGAATCCTCATGGACTATAATGTTTGCAGATGACATTGTGATCTGTGCTGAGAACAGGTGGAAGAGAACTTGGAGAGGTCGAGGTATGCACTTGAAAGAAGAGGAATGAAAGTCAGCCTTTATAAGATAGATTACACGTGTGTGAACAAGAGGGAGACAGGTGGAACAGTGAGGCTACAAGGAGCAGAGTTCACAAAGTTGCAGGACTTCAAGTACTTGGGATCCACTGTCCAGGAAAATGAGGAGTGTGATAAAGAAGTGAAAAAAGAGAGTCCGGGCAGGATGGAGTGGATGGAGAAAAATTTCATGAGTGATTTTGTGACAAAAGGGTGTCAGCAAAGGTCAAAGGAAAAGTTTACAAGACAGTGATGAGACCAGCTATGTTGTATGGTCTGGAGACAGTAGCATGGACAAAAAGAAGGAGAATGAACTGGAAGTGGCAGAAATGAAGATGTTGAGGTTCTCCTTAGGAGTGATAAGGATGGATAAGATTAGGAATGAGATCAGCAGAGGTACAGCACATGTTGAACAACTGGAAGATAAAGTTAGAGAGACCAGACTGAGATGGTTTGGACATGTCCAGAGGAGGGACAGCAGGTATATTGGTAGAAGGATGTTAGAAATGCAGCTTCCAAGAAAAAAGACAAAGAGGAGATATATGGATGCAGTTAGAGAGGACATGGAGGTAGTTGGAGTGAGGACAGAGGATGCAGAGGACAAATGGAGGAGGATGACTTGCTGAAGACCCCTGAAGAGGGAAAAGCCAAAAGAGGAAGATGTTTTATGTATTGGGAGCATATTTAGGGTTTAAGCTCTCAAAATTGGCATTTACAGGCCCTTTTCAGACCACATACAATATTTGGGGGGGGGGGGGGGTTTCACAATTGGTGGGTGCTCTAAGAACGTAACTTAATGTTGGAAAAATGATCTCGTTCACTAAAGCTGCCTACTCAAAAGAATCACACTCATGACAGGTGAAGAATTTATCCAACTTCACTTGCAAGGACTCATTCAGGACAGGTGACATACATAAGCAGACATAAATGAATATGCATGGAAACGCTGTCACAGAATCAGCCTCGAACAGGGTTAATTGCTGACCTTTATATCATTACAGTTCAGTGGAGTTCACTGGGCATTCCTTGAATCCAGCTGCTCACAACAAAACTCTTTGTCTGCACAAATATGGTGACCTCCAGTATATATATATATATATATATATATATATATATATATATATAATGTATACACACCTGCCTTCACCCTCCTTTGCTCCACCCTGGACCCTTGAGCAAGGCCCTTACCTTCCACCATCTGCTCCCCTGGACGCCCTAGATAGCAGCTCTCTGCTCCACACAGAGGGCTGTGGTAGCTTGGTGGTCTGTGGTTGTGTCAGGAAGGGCATCTGGCATAAAAATAACTGCCAAGTCTTCGTGCGACTTAGTTTGCTGTGGCGACCCCTAACGCAGGGAGCAGCCGAAAGAAGAAGAAAAAAAATTATAATGCATTTATTGTAAAAAGACTGACAATGCAGTAAAATGACAATAAACTGAAAAATAAGAGATACAAGGAGAACTGGTCATGGCACTAGGTGTATCAGAGCTCAACTGATGAATGAGGTGAAGCTGAGGGGACTACTGAAGCTAATGAGAAGAAAGGCTGCAGCTGTGATGAATGAAACAGGGAACAGGTGTAACTGGGCATGGCAGGCTCGCTGTGGAAAAGTAGGGGAAAGACTGATGGCACAGAGGAGAACACGTGTTTGTTAAAGGCCAGGAATGAACACAGTGAAAATACAGGAAGCAATCACAAGAAACAAAGTAAACTTCAAACATCCATCTACACCAATCATGAGAGATTAAACCTCAACGCAGACAAAAATTAGGTCAACTGAGGTGTTTTTTAATACATTTGGTATAACACCTCACCTTAAACAGCAGCTTGATGTTTCTAAAACAGTTCCCAATCTACATACAGTTATGGCTACATTTTCCAGCTAGGGTGTGTTTTGTCAGGCTATTCTGCTCAGCCCTTTGTGTTAATTTGATAAAATGTCAGACAGAGGAACAAATCAGCTCCAAGCCATGACTGATGCTGTGATCAAAAGTTCTTCAATAATTAAATAAGAAGTAATAGCTTGATAAATCCCTGGTTATGAGAGTTCCTGAAGGATCAGACATACTCTGATATTTGTTTCAAACATGTACTTAAACATAATCTAATGAAACAAAACTGACAAAATGAAGGTAATAAAAGTCTTCACATTAGGAATTAAAAAGAACTATTTGATCAAAATCAGGATTTATTGATAGATTTTATTGTCTCTTTCAAGTTCAGTTACAGATTTGGTTACATCTCATATTCTAAGCAAACTGGTTTATTAGACTCTATTTCGGTTTGATGCAGTTTTATTAATATCGTTCTCCAAATATCATCTCAGGACATTTTAGAAACTAATCCAGCTCAATTTAAATATTGTAAATTTTCAATTTGAGAGAAGCCAAAACCTTGCTGTATGTAATGAATAGATAAGCGAGTATTACTTTTTCTTCAATTATTAAAAAAAAAAAAAAAGTTTGATGTTTAAACAAACAAACTTAAAACAACATTTTAGAGGAACCTTAGATCTTCCATATCGGACAGATAATCAAGTCTCTTGGGTAAAAATGTCCCATCATTTCTGTTCGTGCCTCTCATTTTATTCAAACAGGAAACACTTAAAGGCTTAAAAAAACATGAAAACTATTCAAGAACAGAATATATTAGTATAAATAATTGTGCCATGTAGTCTAACTGTTATGAAGTTTTTCTAAGATCCATCTAAATGTTTTAATTTCCTTGTGAGCTTAAGACCATTAACTTCAGGTTTTAAGTGCTTGCTTCAGGCTTAGCTGCATGAATCTATGAAAAACAAATGAACAGAGGAAGATTAACCAACAGAGAAATGGTCTAAATCTATTATTAGTCTCCACTGTAAATGAAAGAGGACGTCCGACAATGAGTGGCACAGATAAATAGAGGGGTACAGAATCACAGGGCTCATTTCTGCTTTGTCCATCCTCTGCTGTGAGGACGGCACGTCTCAGACGCAGGTAGGTCCATCGTGAAGTTATCTGTACATGTTTTTTATTTTTTTATTTTGTTTCTTAAATTTGCTGCTAATGCCTGTCTGAAAATAAAAATCCAAAACTTGTTTTCTGAAAAAGTAGATCCAGACACTCAGTGTCTATTTATTTTAAGTTGTTATTTTGAATTGTGTTAATCACAGTCTAGAGACATTTACTTTAAATTAATTAACTTTCTTAAATCTGTGGGTGGATGACATTTCACACTTTTTATATAAAACAAACAAAAAAGTTTCAGCAGGTTAAATTTTGTCCAACTTGTCTTAAGTTGCACCCCCCCAAAAAAAGCCCTTTTCAAATCTAAGGTTGATACAAACTTTCCAAAACAGCTCAAGTTTCTATTTTTGCTTTGCTAACTTTGACTGCACCGCAGCGTCCCGTATGCATCCATGAGTTAGTGGTCAACCAGAGCCACACTGGGCAGCACCAGAGCATAAACAGCCCCCACAGCTGTCTGATCTATTCAGGGAGACAGGCCACTCCAAATTCCTCTTCTGACGATAATCCCGAGGAGAAAGATGGGGATGAAGGGGATGAACGGTGAATGAAGGATGGCTCTCACTCTGCAATTTTCCAAATCCACTGGAGCAGCTTGCAACTTCATTACAGGAGGAGGTTTTACGTGTTGCCATTCATGATTCAGACTGCGTTGTGACAAAAGGAGTGAGGGGCATGTGGGGCGAGGAAGCTGCAAACCGCAGTTTGAGCAATGATAAAGAGCCGACTGTGAGAGGGGAGACGTGACAGAATGAAAACAATACAGAAATAATAAAAAACATAACTTAAAGCACTTCAGTTAGTATCTTCTTGTCTTTATTGTTTTTCATTTTTATGAACCAAAACATAAAAAGTTGACTACATTTAGAAAATCGGTGACACTTGAAGCTGTAGTTGCCCCTTTTTATTGACCACAAGCAAAATCACATTCTCCACAGTGTCACTCTAGAAAAATGGATAATAAAAATAGTTTCACAATTTTAACAACATCACTGCAATTTTAAATGTATTTCCACCACACAGAAGCGTTAGTCCCACATTTGTTTTAGTAATTCAGTTTACTGTAGGTATTTATCATTTGTCTTGTCTTTGATTCTAGTGTTGTATTTACATTGTGAATTGACATCTGGGAGTTATTTTTTATTAATATGCTATTTATATTCATATATAATTATTGTATAATAATAAGGTTAATATGAATATGCTTTCATGTAGTTCAGACAGTCTTCACATCTGGATTTCTCTTGGAAAGAATAGCAAAAATGAGACTTTAATTTTTTATTTATCTCTAAGGCAGTAATTAGACACAGTCAACACTATATGGAGACATTGTCTTCACAGATAATAACATTTTCATAACTTTATTGGACATTCTGACACCAAGCAGGCTTCTCTGAGCATCGTGGCTTTGATTAATCACAGCATTGATAATCATGGTACTTCAGCTTCATTTGCAAATTTTGGGCCTCCTCATCCTGTACTCCAAATTTAAATTATTTTAGATTTTTATCATTTGTTTAGCGACCTATCACAACTAACTTCTTCAGTCCCTTTGACCAAGAAATTCTGATGACTAACTTTTAGGCGCATTAAAAAAAAATCCACATAATCTTGAGTGTACCCATTAGCTGGAGCTTTATTTCGTTTTTACTTTTAACATGTGCTATTCATGACAAAACTGCTTTTTATTTTCAGCCGCTGTTCAGCGACGTCCATAAATGATCTTGTTTTGTAGGTTAAAGAGATCTGTCAGTGAAACAAAGGTCACAGAGAGTGTTTGGCTTTCGCTCCACATTCAGGCTTCAGGAGTGCCGACAAACGCAACGGTTCCTAAAGGGCATTAGATGAACAATAGCAACTGTGAAGTGTGTGAGTGTGAGTTTCTAATCCTTTCTGCATCTCCTCCAGTGGGATCTCAGCTGCAGGATGCCTGAGCACGTGTGAGTGATTAGACTAATATAGATCTTTTACTCGTGCGGAGACATAAATGAATATGTTTCACAATATTTCACCTTTTTATTAAAATTTTTTTTTTTTTTCTTAATTTACAGGCAAGAGGTAAGATCAGTTTACAAAGATCATTTTGACGAATGCTTCACCTGTTGCACAAAATCCAGAATTGTACGACTCATTGGATGTTTGTATTAATAATGTTCTGTTCATACAGAGGAAGTCAAAGATATCAGCCTCAAGGAAGCTTATGTTTAAGGTAAAACACTTTGTGAATGTTTTTTTTTAAACCTCTCCATCATGTAACACCCATACGTGACCACAGGAGAGCAATAGAGACGAACAAACATTTCAGCAAACCAGCTCCTTGCTGACATGAAGATCGCTGTATGTGCCTTGCAAACATCTGAGGGTGGTTTGTGTGTGCAGAGTCTGATGGTGGCAAAAGCCAAGGAGGAACTGGAACAGGAAGTCCTCATCAAAGAAGTGGAGAAGCAGAAGTACCTTGCAGAGAAAGCTCCTCCTCTGAACACCAGTGGGCTCAGCCTCGCTCAGCTGCAGGTGACTTGTCTCTAAAGTCCCTGTTCACGTCTTGTTTCACTTGAAGGGAGTGAAACAGGCTCTACGAGCAGCAGATAAAAGTTATAGCTCCTTTTACAATCGTTCGCGCTTGTTTTATAACTCAGCACAAGCTCACGTTTATAAAAAAAAAACATTGTCCATTTGCTCTGAATTTTTTAAGCCAGGGTTCAGATCTTTAGAAGTGGGGTTGTGTGGAAAGGTGATGAACAGTCAATAGCTTACCTGCTGCAGAAAGCTCTGTGAGTATCATGAGAATAATTCTGACCTGACTAACGTGTAAACGACTGGCTCAAGCAGGACCCGGAGCAATGTGAACTGCTTTTGTCAAAACTGACTCCAATAAAAATACGTAAATACAATTTTATGTACGTTTATAAACACTTCTGTGCATTACACGGTTATTATGAGCAAAACAGTACAGAATTTCTCCCAGGTGTGCACCAGGTTGCTCAGAAGCTACAGCTGCTTATAACCTCTGAACTTGATGGAAATAACAGCACTGGGCAAAACTGTTGGTGATTTAGAAGCCTAAAAAATAACATGTGCATGATTTATAAGACACTGTTTAAGATGAAGTGTTTTAAGATGACAAGTGTTCATTTTGGTCTTGGCCCTGCTTGAGTTAGCTGTTAGCTTGTCAATATTCCTCAAATTCAACTTTATTTCCCTCAAACTGAGGTCATTCAACTAGCTATTTTTAACAGGTAAGATATTAACTGTTTATTGCTTTTTTTTTTTTTTTTTTGCAGGACCCCAGTTTAAAACATCCGATTCATCACTTTTATAAAAATGTTACTCCAAAAATCATTTCATATAAAACATGAGTTATGATTGCACATTTGTGTTTAGGATCTCTGCAGAGAACTCCACTCGAAGATAGGCGTGGTGGATGAAGAGCGATATGACATTGAAGCCAAAGTCATGCTGAACACACGCGAGGTGAGAGCATCACTTTCAGTCAGACAGGAAACGCTGCCTCGTCAGAAACTCCTGCTGCTCTAACCAGAAACATCTCTCGATGTTTTCTGTCCCTGGATCAGATTAAAGACCTGAACATCAAGGTTCTGGACCTCCGGGGGAAATTCAAGAGGCCTAATCTTCGACGCGTCCGTGTGTCTGCTGATGCCATCCTTCGCTCGCTGCTGGGCTCCAAGCACAAAGTGTCCATGGACCTCCGAGCTAATCTCAAGTCTGTCAAGAAAGAAGATACTGAGAAGGTGTGTGCTGGTGGGGGTGGGGAGATAAGAGTGGCGCACAGAAAAACCAGTCCAAGGAACAGTTTATGAACCCTCCTCAGGGTATACACAAGAATATTCCTGCTACATTCATGACAGCACTCAGAATGCCTTGGAACACCTCAAACTGTCAAAGTTCATGCTCGAACTGTGTTTATTTGTGTAAAGACCAGTTGAATAGTAGACCAGTGGAGGGAGGTGACTGTGTGTGAGAGGAGAGGAGGTACACTACCAACACAATGATCCCATTGTACACAGGAGAGTAGCATTCGTTCCTCTGCTCATTGGTCAGTGTGTGTGTGTGTGTGTGTGTGTGTGTGTGTGTGTGTGTGTGTGTGTGTGTGTGTGTGTGTGTGTGTGTGTGTGTGTGTGTGTGTGTAGCAAAACAAACCTGTGTGTGTGTGTGTGTGTGTGTGTGTGTGTGTGTGTGTGTGTGTGTGTTTGTGCACATGAGCAGATTCGTCTGTTCAGATGTTTCTCTGTGAGTGCTTGCTCTGACCTGTGAGTCTCCAAGTGCATTACATCAGGAAACCAGTTCTACCAGTACGGTTAAACAGATCTCTCAGGGGATTCCTGCTCAATAGCACAAGTTTTAATGGCTTAGCACAACAATAAAATAAGCTAAGCCGACCCGTCGTTACAGGCTCAACAAAAACTGCTCCGGGACTGTTGTGCCATTCTTATACTATCTGTCTTTATCTGCAGAAGAGGCCAGTCGAGGACAGCGACTGGCGGAAGAACGTGGAAGCCATGTCAGGGATGGAGGGAAGGAAGAAGATGTTTGACGCTGCCAAAGGTTCTGCGCAGTGATACATGCATGCACAACGTCCTTCTTCAGAGTTGCTGTTGTTCTGCTTTTTGTCTTTTTTTTTTTTTTTGCAGCTAATGTGTTTCTCTTCTGCTCCACAAGTAAAACAATATGGTTATCTGTAAGGTCCTACTCACCACTTTGTATGTAAATTAAATTTAAGTGGAATTTTCTTATCTTATCTTATTCTACCCTACCTTCTTCATTTAAAGTTGATGTCATCGTGTAAGCTTTACTTTTGACTGTTTTGGTTATATCAGTCACAAGATGCTGCTCAATCTGTTAATGGTTCAAGTATGTGTTCAGAACGACCCTTGGCTATTATCGCACCAAATTTAGGCTCAAAATGTGCCAAGTGCACTGAGTTATAACCATTTTTTTGTTTCCTAAAGGTGATTGGCTGTTGTGGTTCATGAGATATTTTACTAAAACACAGAAAAACTGCACAGAGTCGGTCTTTATAACCTGCTTTTCATGGACAGAAGAGAAACATGAAACAAAATCTGAACAAATTAAACAACATGGTTGATATTTTTATTTTCAAGTAAGCTATAAGCATGTACTATTGTTTGTGATACAAACCTAACAAATAAAAACTATTCTGAAAAATGCATTTTGTCATGTTTGAATTGTGAATCTTTGCTGCATTCAGTTGTAGTTTTTATTTGGAAGCGCTATTGTTTTAAATACATTTAAAAGCATTAGGATCTTGGAATTTGGGTTCTGTTGAGTCGGCTTTACTCAGTATCTTACCTGTTGTAGAAGTCACACAGAACATGATCTGTTTGTGTTGTCAGGCCGAAGTTCTTTTTGAGGAGACGAGATACTTGAAGTGACATTTGCCATTTTAAAACAACTTCAGTTGATAAACTTTTACACCAACGTCATGTTTTCTTTGGACAGTTTTTGTGCTGTTGTAGTTCTTTTTGTTGCTCTTTTACTGCAGTCCCCACAGCGAGCAAACCCACATGAAAGATTTGAGAATAGTTTTATGCCTGATGCTTTTCCTGACACAACCTGGGCTCGAATCTGATCTATTGATTATTTACAATGAAGACTGAATTGTCTATTGTCCATTACCAGTAATGTGAAACAGAAAGTGTAACCATCAGAAAATTATCTGGGTTCTGGTGGTTCTGATTGGTCTTTACACTGGTTTTGTAACACACAGACCAGACACTCCGGGCTGTAAACATAGCAATCATCCCAAGTGTGACACGGTGTGTTATTACTACCTTTATAAAAATAGTATTTTGCATACAGTTTAACAAGAATACTTGGTTAAGAAATCTAAGAATAGTATTGTGAATGTAACACTTTGATAAAACAAAAAACCCTCACTGGACCTTTGCAGGATTACACCATAACAATGTCAAGAAATACAAAATATGTGTCAATCAGAAGCAACAAGGAGAGCAACAAGCTGAATTCAGTTGTCTGTCAAGAGCAAATTATCCTCACCACAGTCATAACACGGTTCTTTTTAACCGCTCCGTGTTTTGCATCACCATAAAGCACTAAACTTCCCCTGCATGCTCGTTGCATTGCCTTATATGTGGATAAAAAGAGGTTTTGTAGTATGTTAATGTATACATTTGTCTTGTAATTTCTATTGGACCTCATGCTTTCCCTGAATTAAGCTACATTTCAGCACTTTTGGACACTTACAGAGAAACACAAATAAAAACCGATATGCTATGCAGTGCTACAAGACAGTTATTGTAGGACAGAAACCCATAAAACAGCGTCATGTTCGGACATGCACACAGGAAAGACCGAAGAACGGTGACTTCACTTATCATGTCAGCAGCTCATCCTGTTTGTTCTGGGCTCCAACTCTTTTTTTTTCTGTATTTTGCAGGTGTGATATATTATGTCAGATGAGGTAGACAGTGCATGTGTGTGTGTGTGTGTGTGTGTGTGCGTGTGTGTGTGTGTGTGTGTGTGTGTGTGTGTGTGTTCATCTGAACCTCGGTCAGAGTCCGACACACATCATATTAAGGTGTGGCCTTGCAGCAGAGCAAACAGTTTGACTCACACTGTGAAGAGCCTCGCTGCCACCTGCAACAAAGATGGACGTTAAAAACACACAAAAAACATTGTTGCACGCGTGCACACGCTCTCGTGAGCAGAGAGGTTTGGTTCACCACAATGCTTTTGTTGCTTATGTACATTTCCGTTGTGATTATATTAGCTGTAGCTGCCTATTGAACATGGTTTTAAATCCCTTCCTGTGATTTTCTGCTGTACTTGGTGATTGCTGCTAATATTAATGACATCAGCAATAACAAAGATCAGATTTTTTTCCACTCTCCCACCATACAAGGAGAAACCCTCAGTTCTCCACCCCCTCCCTGTCAGGTAGAGAGCTCACCTATGTGGTCATGTGATCCCTCAGTGAGCTGCACCCGACTAAAGGTGGATATCTTCGTGCTGTAACTTTACTGCCACTGTCAGAGCCTGCTGGATTTCTTCCTCCCCCGTTGCCGGCGAGTGAAGTGGAAACTTTATACTGTCCCAACATGTCCATCAGTCGGAAAAACTGGTCCGCTTTGTCCAGGTAAGACTGAAATCTGTTGAACGTCTGTGTGAACTGACTGTGAGACATGTGTTGTAGCAGGCAGCCGCAGCCTTTTCAGACTTCACACACTTTCTCCTTAATCCCAGGACAAGCTTCACTCCTCAAGCTCAATTTCCAGTTTAAAATGTGCTCAAAGATGTTAACTTTAACTCTGATTTGGGAACTTTACAGGCAACACTTCTTATTTTAGGGATTACTGTAACACACGTTGCTTCAAACCTTCAGAAAACTGCATGTTGTGTAATCAGTGTATCATAAAGAAAACGGTCCCCTCTTGTTGTTTAAAGACTTCCTGTATCATTTACTGTTCTTTATTTTGACTGAGCTCATGAACTGAAGATATAACAGATGATGAATGGTGCAGGTTGTGTCTAACGGTTATTTCTGACATCCAGAACAAGCAAATCATTGAGACACTTTCTTTGAAATCTTTTATCATGAGTATCTTTTGGTCTTATCTCCATCTTTGTTTCATTATCTGTTTCGTTTTTGTTGCCACCACTGTTGTAAAATTCCTCCTCTGTTCGTGTGCTCGGTCTCAGCCTGGCGCGCCAGTGGACGATGGAGGATGAGGAGGAGGTGGAGAGGGAGAGGAGGAGGAGGGTGAGGAGCAGCAGTACAGCCGACCCAGACGATGACTCCTACTCTGCAGCCAGAAAATCATCCAGCGATGATGCAGCCTCTGGGACTGAGTCCTCCAGTGAAATGTCCCAGGGCCTCAGCAGGTTTGCACAAGGACATTTTTAAGATATGATCTTTTCATGGCTCTGATGCTGGTGAGCTGTAATCATCACCCGCCACACAAGAAGACAGGGCAACGCTTTTGTTTGTGTTCGTTTGCCTGTCATGTTCACAATATATCTCATGAACTAATGGGTTTTAATTACATTTATTAGAAAGTATTCACTGGATGTACATACAACTCTACTTTTGAAGTCAGTCTAATGCAAGATGGCTGCCACAGCAAACACAAAACTGTCTTTAACTCAGTCAGTTTTACAGATACTGAGCTCATACTTGGTGTAGTAGCTACGGATTATCACTACAAATACACCAAGTTTGACAAATTGGCTTAAATTTCTTTGTGTCAACCCTGTTTGTTTGTTAGCAAAATAACACACGAACAGTGCTGATTATACGAACACTTTCAGAATGTAATCATTGACTGTTCAGCTACAATAGACTACATTGGGGTCGATTTAAATTAGGATGACTGCAAGAGCTAATTGTCTTGACTTAGTCAAATCTGCCAATATTGAGCTAAAGTTTGTTGTGGTAGTAGCTAAGAGTCATCCTAAATGCACACTGTGACTGCTAACAAATGTTATGAGCATATTGTCAGTCAAAGCTTTCACCAAAACAACTCCAACCCTTTTCATTAAAATACTATTTTAATGTAAACCTCTGGCATACACTTACATTTTTCAAGTCTTTGACTTTGACTCTACATCTGCTGAGGGAATGGATTCAACACCAGCAGTGACAGAATATTTACAGCTTTGATCCATCAGTGTGTCTTCTTTTTTTACTTGACACCATAAAATGTCTAAAACTGCAGCAGCTGAATTTCTGAACACAACACAGTCTTTAAAAGAAGAAAGAACTGCTGAAGGTTTTATTACAAAAACCTGATCAGACACAGGAATAATCTTGTTGCCATTCTTTGGGGCCTGCCCACCGTGTGTCAGTCATAAATTTGTGTGTTGTGTCTTTTGGGTTAGTGTTGAGCAGATGCAGCTGGACTTTGTGGAGATGCTGCGAGTGCGTGACGAAAAGAGGAGAATGAGACACGTGGAGACGTTGAGACGACAGAAAGAAGAAGAGGAGGATGGTGCGAAGGCAGGGAGCGGAGAAGAAGGAGACGCCAGAGTGGTGCTGCTGGGGGAGTTGGATGAGAAGAAGGGGAGTGTGTTCAAACCACAGCCACCCTTGAAAGCATCCTCTGGCAGTCCCAGCAACAGCAACACCAGGACGAACACCACAAACACACAGGCAAGTTAAAGTTCCTCTTTAAAATGCAGCTGAATACAAATATTTGCAAAAATATCTAAATGTGGATTAAAGTCAGCAGAGTTGATGACTTACACTTTGCTCATATCATCGGTAAATAAAGTAACAACATATGTATAATTATATTACTGATTAATAGAGGTGGAAATGATAAGAGTAACACTGAGGTGGATGAGGTAACATGCAAAACAGCACACAGTCGTTTATTCATGTTCTGTCATCCTGCAGTTATCTTTCTGCCAGAGACAGTGTCGATCCAGCTACTTCTAAACTCAGCTGCGAGAAACTGTTTTTTATTTGTTCCCGTGTAAGAGCGGCAAAAGAACATTATATTAACATTTCCAGAAGATGAAACCTCAACATGTGGGGAAAAGTTAGAGAAAAGGGATAAATATTATTCACAAAGACAGTTGCAGCTACAAAAAGTAATGTTAAGAAAGTGACCATGTAAAACTAATCGCTACCAGCAGAGTTGAGATATCAGAAAGATGATCTTAGTGAGTCTATATTTTCTTCATTTTTTTATGTTCAAATTAAGAAGAATTGCATTTGAAAAAAAACTTTTGGAATATTACAATGAGTTGAAGTTGTTTATATTACAACTAGTCCAAAGAAGTACAAAAAGAAAAGAAATATATTTCATAGAAATTGTTTTAAACATGGTCAGCACGGTGGCGCAGTTTGTAGAACTGCTGGCTCTCAGCGAGCAGGTCGTCCCAGTTCAAATCCCGGCCAGGAGGACTTTCTGGGTGGAGTTTGCATGTTCCCTCCGTGCATGCATGGGATACTCCGGTTTCCTCCCACAGACCAAAAACATGCATGTTAGGCTGATTGGTAACTCTAAATTGTCCCTAGGTGTGAGTGAGAGAGTGAATGGTTGTTTGTCTCGTTTGTCTCTATGTGTCCCTGTGATGGACTGGAGACCTGTCCAGGGTGTCCCCCACCTCTCACACAGTGATAGCTGGGTATGGGCACCAGTGACCCCCGTGACCCAAAAAGGAAGAAGCGGGGGATGGATGGATGGATGGATGGATGGATGGATGGATGGATGGATGGATGGACGTTTCAAACATGTTGATTTCTACAATGAGAAACAAAATGTGTAAAACGCACGTTTAACTAAGTAAAAGAAAAATGATGTTTCATGTAAAGTCATGGCTACCAGTTTTACTCCTGGTCAGCCACCATGTTTTTACAGACTCAGTGAGCCTGACCTGTATACGTAAAGGCTGAATGAATGTAATAATGCCATGGGAAGATGACAGGAACCCTACAGTGCATTTCATTTTCAGCTAAGTCAAAACATTTCCATCTCAAACAGCTGGAGGTTTTTTTTATTATTATTCTGTTTCTGCTGGGACGTTTCTGAATTCCAAGTTAGAAAAAATAATTTAGACACACTGAAAGTTAGAAAGCCGACTCACAAAGTTGGACATTCTTCACCAAATCATGGCACCAAAGTATTTTTTAAATTTATTTTCACCTTTGTAAATATATCACATTACATTTGTCACAGAGATGTCACTGTACTGAACTACCTGCGTGCAAGAGTTGTCTAAATGTTGTTTACAAAGGTTGCTGCAGATTATAATTCTTATTCGTATTCTAAGAGTTTGATAGAAGGCAAGAAAATAAGTTCAGCTGCCTTCTATAAAACTCTAAAACTTTATTTTCTGCTGCATTTGAATTATAGGACCAAAATGAAGATGACAAGACACCATCTTTCCAGGGAACGTGAGTTTGTGAAGCTTATTTGCTATGAAATTCTATGTTGATATCTCTATTCATAAATGTTTTATTATTATAGTTATTGATTGATTAAATGTTTTCACATCCATTATGTCTTTTCAGCTCTGGTCAACGAACTTCATCATCATCTAAATCCATCAAGAAGATGGAGCGACTAACTCAGACAGCACAGGTCAGTGTCATGTCAAAGCTCTGAAGTCAGTATCCAACATGGCTGCCTTGCACACAAAAGTGGGGATAGCTGAAATAATAAACTACTTATTTAAACGCCTGTCTCATGAGATTAGTTTTGCACATACCACGCAACTTCTATTGGAGAAAACGTTGCTGTAGTGTTTGATTGCACAAACTGAAGGGAAATATATTCCACTTGCATTGCTAACGGTAATTAGCTTAGTGATGCCTTGGCACATTCCATTCAAATATGTAAGTCAGAATTGTCAAGTTTCATGTTAGAAAATGTATCTAAAATTCTCCCAGACGTTGGAATTCCGACTTGGAAAGTTAGAGCCCTAACTTCATAATCCAACATGGCGACTATATGCAGAGGAAGCTGCAGTATAAATTATTTATCTGTATATCTATTCCATACAAGTGAACAAGTTGCTGCTGTGTTTAAATGTGTAAAATGAAGACAAATACGATGCTGCAACGGTTTGTGTAGTTAGACTTGCCACTGAGCCAAACAAATATCCAATCACTGGTTTTCCAACAATCCCAGCTCTGAGATCTAACTTTTGTGATAAATTAAACACAACCCTAGTTTATCTGTCCCAGTCATAAAGACTGCAATGTACTGGTCTCATGAGGAAAAGTTTAGGAATAGATCAAATCTGTGGGATTCCCCTTTGGTTGTTTTGAGATATTTCCCTTTGGTGCGAATTATAGACCCAACTTCCCGACAGTCAGTTCCTTGAACTAGACATTTGCAAACCTTGGTTCACCGACTGTTTATTAATGCTTCACTAAGTCGTAACTCAGTGCCACAAACAATGCCACCCTGCAGCGAGGCTGATCCCAGTTAACTATTACCCCACGCGGAGGGTAAAGTGTGTTAATCATTCTCTACATTCTGTAATAACAAATAACTTCCCATTGGAGCTTGACAGCTCTTTCAAAACCAAATGAGCTCACGTTCTGATAGCTGCTGGTGTCCAGTCAACTGGTTCTGGTTTCAAAATGGTTGCTGATTTGAGCCAAGCATGACCAAACATACATGGATTTGACCTCATTATGTACCGTGTGGTGTTTGGACAAGACATAGACTTGGCACAGTTTTATGAGCTGGACTTGGACATGACTGTTGGGTGTGCCTCATACTATTGTTGAACTCTGTCAGCTCTTCTGATCTGCCACATTTAGGTCAGTGTCGAGCCAAACACTGTGAGTTAACTGGCATTTTGTAACCACTCGGAAAAATATTGGAAAATTTTAAGGAATTGTAATATATACAAATGTCAATACTGGTATTTGTAAAGAATATGCATATTAATATATATACTGTATATTCGGACTAGTGAAATAGGCAGATATCTTACTTTAAATTATTATTTCCTGTCCTACTAATGGCTTTAAGCTTTTCCTGTGAATCAAACAGCATGCAAATAATCTGTGAAATGTTTATAAAGTGTACCTAAGGTCATAATTTGAACTTTATCTATTACATGACAGCAGTACATCTACACTGTGTTATCTAACAAAGGATGTTAAAGATTAGATTAGTTTTGTCTGTATAGAAACAAGCTGTCTGTGTGGTTCTGTTGATTGTCTTCCCTTTTTTTATTTTTATTTTAATTAGCAAGCAAGAGACGAGTCGTCCAGGAGAGACCCAGAGCCTGATCCCAAACCAGTACCAAGCCCGGCTCGCAAGTTTGTCAGGTTAACACAATGACAATTTATGTTTTATTTTTTTAATGTATTTCATAGTTTAGCCAGGAATAAAGACTTTTCTTTTTTATTAAACATTTTATTCATTAGATAAGTGTTATTAATTCCTGAGTAAAATAAATAACTAAAAGTCTCCTTTTACTTATGAACTGCAGCTAACGCCATTATTTTTTCAGTGTTAAATTTAATGCACAGGCTAGCCACCTTATCCCTAGCCCCCACGCTGCCTTGCATGAATTATGGGCACAACTTCCGGCGCAGACCAGAACCGGCATTTGTTTATGTGCGAACAGTACGAGCTAATGTTTCTCCAAGCATTGCGGATCTAATTTAAACATGTTGAACACCACCTGTCAGAGCTCAGACAGGACAGTATAATCGCTGCCTACAGAGGACGAGGGATGGAGGACGACCTGAAGAAGTGGCTGCAGATTACATCTACTAGCATATTTACCTATACTTCATTGACCGGTTGCTTTGGGCGGTGAAACAATGAACAACCAGAAAAGCTCTGAGGCGTATTAGTATCTACACAGTAATAAGGTTGTGTTTTATTAAAAGAGGTGGGGCACTATCTTATTTACCTTAAAGCAGACATAGAGCCCAGCCAAAGCCTTAAATTTCTCCATCACAGAGCTTGGGTTAATTGCAGAGAAGATGGTAATACCGAAGATGAATAAATACTATAATGCTGTGCCCTCCATACACTTAATCATACCTGATATTCTCGTCACTGTTTTCAATCCTTCTGAGGATCCGGTGTTTCTTCTCTGGTGGTTTATTGTTGTCCAGCCACAAAGTAGGATGCAGGTTTTTCTCCGTCGGCCGTTTGTCAACAAAGTGAAATGAGCTCACATAGAGAGTTTTGGGTGGTCTCTTCAAGTTTACATTTTTCAGCCACATTCTTCTTTATTCCTCATCTGTAGGTAGATGATGGAAACTATACCAATTTTCACAGGAACGCTGTTTTTCTGTTTTGGGTCCATGTTCAAAACTCTGTTGTTGGAGCCACTGATTGAGTTTGGTCTGGTGGTTCGTGCAGCTGTGAACAAAACAGGTACCTGAACTCCACAAGGCTATTTTAGTAAACTTTATGGATGTTAAATAAATGTAAACAAAACAAAAACAGTGTTTAGCTGCTAAACTGAATCCAAATAACTTTCAAATAAAGCATGGTCCATGCTCCGCTCCCATGGTTAACCAATGATTACTGCTACTTCCTGTCTGACAGGAAGTTGTACCTATAATCATTAATACGGTAGAGCCTCCCAGGAATAAGGTGGATAACTTTGTCTAAAAATCAGCCTCCTAAATATTTGTTTTACCAGCATTGTATACTGGAGATATATACTGAATATTAGTTCATACATTTTGTACACTTAATTATTAAAGGAATCAGCCGTTGCTTGTTCAAGAGGTGCTCGAGGAAAAACTGGGGCAGACTGGAACCTCTGGTTTTCCTTTAGAATGCAAACAGGTTCTTCTTTGGATCCTTTTATTGTTTTAAAACAAAAACTTTATTGTGATCGTTTCCTGTTTTTGTTCGTCCTTTTCTTTTCTTGACCTTTCACACAAATCTGCAAAAATAGCTCTTAAACAGCCATTTTTAAAGAATAAAAACTTTTCCAAAAAAGTTCAATCTGGTCCTCTGGACATTCAAAAAAAACAAAAAACAAAACAAAGCAAAAAAATCTAGAAACGTTTCGTCTCTCATCCAAGAGACTTCCTCAGACTGAGG